CGTGTACATGTACATGTACATATACATAAGACATATATATAAATATATAAATATATATATACAATATATACATGTATACATTTATACATATATATATATATATATACATTTATACATATATATATATATATATATATGTCATTTTATTTGTGTACATTTTTTTTTTACAATGGCCCACCATGGAAACCCTCGTCATCAATTAATTGCACATCTGCAGCAACAGCCACACATCCCCACTGACTACCCCCCTAGAATTACCGTACCAAGCCCTCTCAATTAAGAGAACTTGTTTCATTCAGATCTGTAACAACACATTCGTTCAATATATCCTCGTTCAAGACCACACACCCAACTTCACTCGCATGCCATGAAATGTTTTGAACCTTACCTTTGGTACGTAGTACTCAGCATGTACTAGACTAGCATGTAACGTTTTAACGCATACCTTAAGCACTTAGTACTCTGCATGTGCTATACTATCATGTAACGTTTTAACGCATACCTCAGGCACTTAACGCACAAAAAGGGTCCAGCCCACAGTAATCTCACCACAAGGCCAGCAATAACTCTACTCGCCCAGCCACACGCTATAAATACTTCACATAGCATAGGTACACACAACAGGGTCCAGTCCATAGCTATCTCATAATAAGGCCACCGATAGTTAGTCTAGTCTTCATGCACTATACAAGTAACACTTACCTCGGATACTTCGTATTCTTTCTAGTCTTCATGCACTATACCTACCAGTAACACTTGCCTCGGATACTTCGTATTCTTTCTAGTCTTCATGCACTATACCAGTAACACTTACCTCGGATACTTCGTATTCTTCATATAGTCGCGTGGCTCAGCTACAACGCCGTACGCTATTCTGCGATCGGCCCGGCCGCTCTCGACCAGGAACTGCATCTCCTCCATCGAGACATATCTGGTAGAAACACAGAATAACCCAAGATTAGTCTTATTATATAAAGCTTTATTATATATATATATATATATATATTGTATGTACCATTGGTACAAGCTTCGTCTTCCTGTACAACATAAACACACACACAGCCACGCAGACAACCATCTCGAACGCCATCAAGGTTCCACGCCAGTCCTCCTTAGCAACATGCCTGTACAATACAATACAATACAATACTATATTATACAATACAATACAATACAATACAAACACACACACACATGTATATATATATAAATATATACAAGTCTTCTAACCCACCTCACCTGTGTGGTAGTTCGTTGAACACTTCCTGCGCTCCCTTGGACACGGCACCGTTTCCGGTGAACACGCACACAAACGGCATCATAGGCGCAGGTACACCGTTCTTCGCAATCTCGTTACCCAAAGCTCGCACCGCCCCGCGCAATGACCCAAGATCAGGGTAGTTGCGCGCCAAGCCTATGTACAGGAAGGGGGTGTGGTAACCCATACCTGCAGTGTATATATATATATATATATATATATGTAAATATGTATTAATATATATATATATTCTCGAACTTGTTATGCGATGCCAATAAAGCTACACATGTATACACAAACATAGATGTGGATTCGTCCATATACATGCCCACAAGTGATCGTGCGTGATGTCTTGTCCAGTATTTTAGACGTGTCAGACTATACCCACTCCCTGCAATACATAACTGTCTATGCAAGTGGTGCGCATAGTGCATCAGCGTATACAAGTGGACAAGAGTGAAGACACCAGGAGTGACCATAAGAGAGACTACACTACCCACCCCGCACCGCTGTACGTACACACTGTACGCCCGTTGTTGGATGTGGAGGGGTGGTGGGTCCCAGGTATAAGACCATCTTGTGGTGGATGTTATACCTACCAAACAGCGCACGCACGCTTTGCCTACCCACTGGGTTTAAAGCACACCGTGGAACTGGATTAAGTACAGGTGACCAATAACAAGCCAGCAAGAGTGGTAGGAAGGGGGTGAGGGGTTGTACTTTGGGGGGGGGTTCAGATAGTAACAGAGGAGAGGCTTCCACCGCTTCGCATGTATGTAGAGATCACGCATTTCTTTATACCATGGTTAGAGAATATCTACCTGCATACTTACATAGATACTAAACGTAATCCCCCCCCCTACATATATACATACCTCTTACTTACATAGTTACAGAACATCTATCTCCGTACATACATAGCTACGGAAAATATATCCACCTGAGTACATACCTTTATAAGATAATATCTACCCGCCATCTTATATGGATGCACATCTTGCTAATGCCAGTTGTTGATTCATCACATTGAGGCCGCGTTTGACATACAGTTGAGTGTCGCGTGCTGTGTTCAGCTGGGCGTCTACTGTATGCGCACCTACCCGATGGACACACATACACACATACATACATACATGCAAGCATCCATGCATGCACACGTACGTACATACATACATACATACATACATACATAGAGAACTAAGTGTGGCGTGTAGTGTTTATCTGTGTGTGTGCACATACCTAGTAGCTTGTTGCCCAGTCCATTCAGGACATCCATCATCCCCGCCACCCCCGCGAAACGGCCGAACTTGACAATCCTCTCACCCCTGTGTGTATGCACATACAGAACACACACATGAGTGCCACCGAGTAAGCCATGAATAGTACTGTAAAGGGTCTTACAAGGAGGTTACTGGTATTGTATTAAATATACCTTCCCAGAAGTTACTCGTAGTATATTAGTAGGCATCAGTTTACAAGGAGGATACTGGTATTGTATTAAATATACTTACCCAGTAGTTACTCGTAGCATATTAGTAGGCACTAGTGGGGCTGTTCGGACATGTAGATGGCAGCGATGCCTCGTTTAACGGCAACATCAGAGGCAGCAGCCAGCACGCAGGACATAGAACCCCAACGATGACGCAACGTATATTCAATACGTATACACGTATATGCAATATTATAAGCAGGTGTATTCACTAAATAAGTTCATATATCCCATACACATGCTCATGTACCTCATGCATATGCTCATATACTCAATGCAGATGCCCGTACACTAACCATACATGCATGCCATTCCCATACATATGCTCATATAGCTAATATCACGTATATCCACCACATACGCACAACTAATTCACTGCAGTACTCTTATACTCACTACATAGACTCGCATACTTTCAACCAATACAAATGTACCACACCCTAAAGCCCTTTTGTTATAACCCAACCCCAAACCCAGGTGTCCACGTACCTGTCGTTGGTCATGCGCTCGTAGTCGATCAGTCGGATTTTCCGCGCCAGTATAGCGTCCAGCATGCCCATGTTGTACTCTTGTGCCTGTACCATGAACAAGAGATGCAGGGTTTGAGTGACGTCGTGATTAACACCCCAAACAAAGATATATGTACATATTTATGAATATATATATATATATATATATATATATATACGTACGTACATATATACATATATATATAAATATATATTACATATATATATATATATATGAATATATATAGGTACATATGAATATATACATGTACATTTGTAGATATACATGTACATATGAATATATACATGCACATATGAAATAAACATGTACATATGAATATATATAGGTACATATGGATATATACATGTCTATATGAATGCATACAGTACGTAAGAATATATACATGTGCATATGTGTATAAAGGTATAGCACTGAGTACGTACAATAGCTATTCATTGACTTCGACAGTGATATTTTATCGTCCTGTACCACTGCGTGCATGCCCACCTTAACCCCACCTTTAGCCTACCGTACACATTCCTTACACCTACCGTACGCATTCCTTACACCCACCTATGCCTACCATAAGCCTACCGTAAGCCTACCTTGAATGTATGACTGAAAAAGAAGTGCGTGCGGTCGTCCATGAGCTCGTCTACGGGAATCTCCTTGACACCCAAGATAGTCGCAGCAGGAGATAGATCATCCGTCAAAATAGCGCCCACCTAGGTGTGGACGAAAGGGAAGGCTCAGTACCAGGGCGTGTATATAGCTCCAGCAGTATGATAGGTTTATCCCCACACGGTTAGATAATATATATATATATATATATATATGTATATAACTATACATAACTATATATAACTATATATAACTATTTATAACTATA